AAATGACGTCGCACCTGCCCTACACCCTACATCTGACGCTTGAACTACTGCTCACATGCAGGCCCAGGCGATCATTCATCCAAACGGCCCGTCTACATCAGACGGAACTAATGCACCCCTCAGACTCTACGGTTCTGATATGCCTAGACCTACTGATTTCTGGCGTGCTGCCTTTCACCCTTTATAGCTGAGCTGAGCCTGTCAAACCTCAATTCCCCCAATGTCAGCAGTCACAATGTCGGACCCGCCAACGGAGCCCGCGCCTCTACAGAATATGACAACAGATGTCCCTACCATCGTCGAACCAGATGTAGACGCAGAAGAACGCGGCCGACTCAAGCGACGTAGGCAGTCGTCACAACACTCTCCACGCCGTGCATCCTCACCATCTCGTGGCCACGATCGCCGCAGCGGCTCCCGATACAGAGAGCATCACCGCAAACACCACCGACCTTCGTCTCCGACGTCTTCTATCTCTCCGCCGACATCCGCTCAGAAGAAGACTAGAAGGCGCAGTGATGCCGAGCCGGATCATACATTCCGGGGGCGGGCTCGCAACAGAAGCGGTAGCAGAGGAAGGACTAGGAGTCCATTGTTAGAAGCCGATGATGCTTGCGTCGAAAGCGACGAAGATGAAAGGAGATTCCGAAAGAGAAGTGCACCGCCCAGTCGGCACAGGGGTGAAGAGACGGATGAGGGTGGTGCGGTTCGGCGACAGAGAAGTTATCCGAACCTCTATAGGGAAGACAGGAGAGACTCCAAGGGCGAAGGCGAAGGCGAAGGAAAGACGCACGCAGTGGACATTGTGAACTTGACAGAAGCAAGCGCGGCGGTGCCCCACTTGACGGACTAGCGACTTTGATATGTTTGGCCTGTGTGTTGGAGAAATGCGGCGATTGGGATAAGTTTACTATGGTAGTGTAGTCTATGTCAACTCTTAGTGTCTAGGATTGTAGTGTATAATTTTGACTGGTAGTTATCCTCCACGTCGCGACTGACCACGGCACGCGACAGATGTTCTCGTGTCCCACCAAGGTGACGATGGCGTGGCTGTGCGCGTGTTTACACCAAAGTGTACGTGGCGCATACAGCACACAGCGATGCAGTGCTGGAAGCTCTACGATATTGCAGCAACTGATCAGGGCCTTGTCTGCAGGTACCGATGGCATCCGAAGACTCCGGACTGCTCACATCAGCATCGTCGTCGCCGTCTCGAAGCTTCCATACCGAGGCGCAACAAAACCGCCCCACCCCCGCGGCGCTACCAATCATTGAAGCTTAAGTCCGCCATCACTTCCGTTGACTAACCTGCAGCCTCACCCCCTCTATCGCCTAGTCACTGACCCCGTTATGCCTCCGCCAGGCAACGAATATGCCGCCGAGCAGCTTAAGAACTCCGGCAACAAGTGCTTCAAGAATGGCGACTATGAAGAAGCTGAGGCGCTGTACTCGCAGGCCATCCAGAAGAACTCAGCGAACCCTCTGTTGTTCACGAATCGCGCGAATGCGAGGCTGAAGCTGGAGAAGTGGGAAGGTGTGATTGATGACTGCATACGGAGCATCGAGTTGTTGAAGGACAACATGAAGGCCTTCTTCTATCTCGGTATGCTTTCACCCTCTGCGCAGATGCGCCAAGCACTGCAACAGCACATTCAAGGCTAACAACAGTGCAGCACAAGCCCAACTCGCCATAAACCACCCCAACGAAGCTCTTTCCTCAAGTCTCATGGCCTACGAACTATGTACCACATCGGCGCAACAAACCTCAAACGCAGCCACCATATCTGCCCTCGTTCTAAAATGCAAGAAAGCTAAATGGGATATCCGCGAACGAGAACGGATACGGCGGCGCGGCGATCTCCTCTCCGACCTTGAATCGATGCTAGAGACACAATTCAAAAAGGACATGGATGATATCGAAGCACGCATGGAGACTGGGGAAACTAGTCGATCAGACGGGCAGGAAGAGAAAGCAGAGCGCAAGACGGAATTCGAGAAGAAGCGCGATGATCTACGGACCGCCTTTGCTATATCAGATCCGGAACATCAGCAGAAACGCGAAGTACCAGATTACCTCGTTGATGGCATAACATTTGAGATTATGCATGATCCCGTTGTTACCAAGAACGGCAGATCGTATGAGCGGGCTACGCTGATTGAGCATCTCAAACGGAGTCCTACAGACCCGCTGACGAGAGAGACACTTACGATTGGTGATCTGAGACCAAACATAGCACTCAAGGAGGCTTGTGAGGAATTCATGACGGCCAACTCCGGATGGGTTTATGATTGGTAGGTTTGCGAGACTTCATTGGTCCGCGTGTATTGTGGTAGGTATGTCGAGTGGAGGGATCTAGAGTGCAGGGCGTAGAATATGTGCGCTGACAGCATCTTAGTGAGGATGGTGAGGTAGATCCCGATGCGCGATGGGCGCACCTATCTTCAACTTGAGATCTAACCCCAACCTAAGTGTCTGAAAGAGATTTATAATATCTGCACCGGATGGCGTTTGTTGGATATCCTATCGTTATGCTTGCACACTTGTCAGCGATGGTCGTAGTTCTATACCCACAGCTACTCAGAATCTCTTTCTTCTCTGTTCTCCTTTCTCGAAGACAAGCTCGTATTGTGGCGCAAGACAGCGCCCGCATGGTTCTTGCGGCTTCCCCACAAAGGAAACTTTTTCGGCATGTCAATCTAATGACGCTTTTGGAAGTTTACACTTTTGAAACATCTAGCGCTCAGACATCCACATCGGCTAGTCGATCATTCGGTCCTGCCTTGCTTACGTACGCACTATATTGGCCTATAAAGCCCCACACTACTGTATGACTACCCCAGTAGTCTGTAGTGAGCGGAGTGAAGTCTAGGGAGATGTTCCGAGTGGTCACCATAGCTATACTAGATTGAGATCTAACCCAAGTCGAGAAGCCGAAGCTTCACCACGTATCCTAGGAAAGCCTTGTTAGGCAACAAAGTCATCGCGGTTACGCGGTCATACATGCAGGTGTTATACAATGTTGCGACTAGTGTCAGACGTGGAATGATGGGGTAAGATTATATGATGTGAGCCCAGGTATCCAAGACCTTCTATCCTGCCCATCATATAGTTTTACTGTATCCTTCTCCGGTTTTGTCTCTTCTGATACTCCAACAACTCATCATGAATGCACCACGCCTTACTCCTTGGTCGCCGCCTATCAATGAACTCCTTCCGCATACGTTATTTAGGCTTGCGGCTCAGAACCCTTCCGCTACATACGTAGAATTCCCCAACGACCCGAACAGGATTGAAGACGGGTATCGTAAAATCGCTTTCGCCGAAGTAGCCAATGCCGTTCATGCAATAGCATGGTGGATCGAAGAAAATGTCGGGAAGTTGAGCGAAGAAGAGAAGACTGGTGAACAGACGTTGGTGTACATGGGGCCGAATGATATACGTTATGCAGTGCTTTGCCTAGGAAGTGTGATTGCAGGTTACAAGGTAGGCTTCCCTTGAACGTTGAAGACTAGGGAGTGGACTCAACTGACCATGACAAAAGATGCTCTTCCCTTCGCCACGTTATGGAGCTGAAGCACTGGTGAAACTGATAGAGAGCGTGGATGCGGAAGTCATGCTAACACCGGAGGTACCAATACCAGTCGTAGAAGGAGTCCTATCGAAGAGATCCATGAAGACACTCCAGATACCAGGTGTAGAGCAGCTTCTCAAGTCGGCCGCAGAACCATATCCATACAACAAGACGTTTCAAGAGCATAGCAAAGAACCATTGATCTGCCTTCGTACGTATACACGTTGTCGTCCTGATCTTCCAGATCCTAACCCCACATTTCAGATACATCTGGTACGACCGGCTTCCCGAAACCCATACTCTGGACCCATGAGTGGGCAAACAGCGCAGGACGAAGCATGAACCTTGACGCACCCCCAGGCTATGACCTGCAGGAAGAGCTTCTTTACAGTAGGAAAGAAGGGAGAGGCAGGCGAATAATGCTCCTTTTCCCTCCATTTCATGCTAGTGGCGTGATCGGAATGGTCCTGTTTCCCCTGACAATCGGTGGGACGGTAATCTATCCACCAACATGGACGACGCCCGAAGCGGGCGTGGAAGGCGCTCTGAAGGCGCTAGACGTTATTGCCGCACGAGACGGAGGCGTGGCGACAGACTGTGTGGCACTAGTGCCTCCCTTGTTCGAGTATCTGGGCAAGAGTCCAGAGGCCATACGTAGGATAAGCCAGAGAACACGACAAGTAGGTTGGGGTGGCGGTAGCGTGAGTCGAGCCGCAGGAGAATCCGTGGCAGCGCAAATGTCCATTTTGAACTCCATGGCGTCAACGGAACTTAGTATCTGGCCCACTATTCGTCCAAGCGGTACTGATCTATCGCAAACCGCATATTGGGAGTACACCACCTTCCACCCAGCCTCCAATATCCGGTTTGACCCTGTTTCCACATCTACAGACGGCACCACACTATACGAAGCCGTTATGATCCGGAATAATGGAACAGAGCATGATGGCTATGTCCAACCCATCTTCTCAATCTTCCCAGATGCAAAAGAGCGACGACTCGGGGATTTGTTCACGCAACATCCCCGAAACCCAGAGCAATGGAAACACTATGGCCGTGCGGATGATCTTCTGGTTTTTCTCACGAATGAAAAGTTCTTTCCAACGGCGGCGGAACAGAGAATTGCGAGCCACTCTGGTGTCGCGGAGGTGGTGATGGTGGGTACAAGGAGGCCGGTAGCTTCATTGATTATGAGGCTGGAAGATGGCGTGCAGGTGAGTGATATCTGGAGTGTGGTGGAAGATGTAAACAAAGACTCGCCTGTGTATGCACGCGTGGGCAGAGAGATGATACTAGTCGTGGAAGAACCGTTCCCAAAGACGGCTAAAGGGACAGTGCAGAAGAAGGCTTTGTTGGAAATGTATGAAAAGGAGTTGGATGCTTTGTATGCAGGTAGTAGCTAAGCGCTCCGAGTATGCTAATCTATTCTTACGCGTTTCCGCTCAACTGCTGCTTCCATCCCGCTGGACACGTACCAGTACATGCCAATCCACTGTCGCTGTTCATGTTTGAACACAGTATCTTCGCAGTGCCTCCATTCTTAGGCTTGCTAGATGTGGGCGTACCACGTCAGTGTATGTCTCATATGCAGTTCGTACAGGCACACTTACATATCAATGTTCTTAAACTTCAGACCCGTGCAAGGTACTCCGCGACTGCAATAAATCGCTGCAGCCACGTTGTATCTTGAAGTGCCTGTGATGTTCTCCCACGTAATGTCGCTAATCTTTAACCGACTCGAGTCGCAGTTTTGGTAACTGTAAATACAAGGCGAGACGTAGATGGGTTGATTAACGTCTTGAAACTTGATATTACGGAAGGTGACGTTTTTGACATGGCCTTGACCGGGATACGTCTTGATCCAAGCTGCGTTGGAACTATGAATTGCAGTAATGTCTTCGAAAAGTACATTGTCAACCGTCTCAGGAACGTTAGTAGGGTTTCCCATTGATCCGATGACCATGGCACCGGACTCGTAACAGGTTGCGTTTTTGACGTAAATGTTCTTGCTGTTACCTTTGACCGATATGCAATCCTTTGGAGATATTAGAACTACAACGGAGGAGAGGAGCATCAAGGCTTACATCGCCGCATGTCACAACCCAATTTTTGAGCACTATGTCTTGTGAGTTCCAGCTATCGAAGCCATCGGTGTTGACAGTGCCCCATTGTGAAGACGAAGTGGCGTTCATGTCGAGGTTTGTCATGGTGACGTTCTGCGAGTAGGCGACAAACGTGTGCCTGCTCTGTCAGCAATATGTTCATGTGCAGAATGGTACTTGTTGCTATCTTGTTGCAAACGTACCAGAATTGTGACTGTCTCCAAGTGATTCCATCAATCCATACATTCTTCGCTTGCCAGAGTGTCAAGCTGATCGGCCGACCAGCCATATTGCTTCCATCACGATTTGCGTCATACCACTTCTGCCCGTTGCCAAAGAAAAGCGCTTCGCCGTGTCCCTGTAGAGTGAAGTTCTCGCCCCCTAGGCGGAACGCTGTACTTCGCTGAGCATACGTCACGCCTACACTATTCTTGACCCAATATTGAATATCATCGCTCCAGGTCAGTTTGCCGCGAATAGAGATGTCGCAGTTCTTCAGGTTCAAGACGTCCATTACTTTGGCGATGGTATAGTCACCTTTTGTGACTTCGATCTGACCGTTTTGTCCGCATTGCTTGAAGGCGTCCATCATGTAAGGACTATCATCCTTGGAACCGGACGGGGTAACTGTACAAAGGGAGCCAGTTTTGGTCATCCCAGCCAGCGCTGGGACGATAAGAAAACATAGATGGAGAAATTTGAGCTGAAGCATTCTGTCAATTTTAGAGAGATTCCTGTATGTCAAAGAGCAGAGGAGAATAGCTAAGATGGTCAAGCTTTATGAATGCTTGTTTTGTGGGACCATGGCTCCCCGCAAGCACGTAGGATCATGGTTTAACGTCTATACGCCTGCAGTGAACTGACTAGTCTTTACACACGGTTTGGGAAATGCGATCGGTGCAATATTCTTGAGAGTCGTAGTTTCTCCATATGAGTAGGTGTAACACCACCGGGTCTTGTTCGGCTCTTGAGCTACGGGTAATCTAATAGATGAGGAGGCCAGGGTGATGCTGTGGGGAACGAGTGACTGCTTCAAGAGAAATTGGTAGCAAAGTGGCCATGTGACGAGATGGTCTTGGAAGGAGAAGATATGGGTGGTTGCCAAGCCCACGTCATTGGTGGTTTCCGAACTTCCTTTGACGGGTCCAACTCGGCATCTTCATCTCGACAAGGCGATTGCGCAGCCATTGAGCGTCGCATGGGCTGCCTATTACGCTCTTTACCATGAACACCGCCGCCCACATCCGTGCCTTGCGCGTGCGGCCCTCGATACCACGCTGCCGCCCCTCTCACCGCGCGTTGCAGCACCCCACAAGACGTGTCACGACAGCCACCGAGGCCGCGACCAACGTTCGATCGACGGGCACTCGCACCAAGAACCTCGTGTACGGTACCCTTCTGGCGCTCGGTGGTACGTTTGGCTACCTATACGCCACCGACACGCGCGCAAGCATCCACGAATGGCTCGTTGTGCCAGCACTACGCCTGATATACCCAGATGGAGAGGAGGCGCACCACGCTGGAACGCACATGCTCAAGGTGCTGCATAGCTTCGGCTTGAACCCCAGAGAACGTGGCGTGGCTGATTCACGGGGCGATCTGGCTGTCGAGGTCTTTGGACACACACTGAACAACCCGATTGGAACATCTGCCGGCATCGACAAGGGCGCCGAGGTACCAACACCGCTATTCGAACTTGGAGCGGGAGTAGTAGAGGTCGGCGCTGTTACACTACTGCCGCAAGAAGGCAACCCAAAACCACGCGTCTTCAGGATCCCCAGCCAGAACGCGCTCATCAACCGCTATGGATTCAATTCCGAAGGCGCCGAGCTGGTTGCTTCGAGGTTACGACAACGTGTCAGGGAGTTTGCCTACCACGCCGGGCTTGGACTAGATGACGACGCAGAGCGCCGGGTCCTCGACGGCGAAGCCGGTGTTCCACCTGGTTCGCTGCTCAAGGGACGTCTCATGGCTGTCCAGGTTGCGAAGAACAAGACGACCTCCGAAAACGATATCGATGCTGTAGTGCGCGACTACGCGACTGCCGTGGGCCATGTCGGAAAGTACGCTGATATTCTCGTCGTCAATGTCTCCTCACCTAACACGCCCGGCCTTCGCACTCTCCAGAACGTCGAGCCCTTGACACGACTACTCTCTGGAGTTGTAGGAGCAGTCAAGAAAATCGATCGCAAGACAAAGCCTGTTGTCATGGTGAAAGTCAGCCCAGATGAGGACACAGAAGAGCAGGTATCTGGCATCTGCGAGGCCGTCTGGGACTCGGGTGTCGACGGCGTCATCGTTGGTAACACAACGAAGAAGCGACCAGACCCCCTGCCCAAGGGCTACTTGCTTCCTGAATCAGAGGCAAAGCTGCTTCTCGAGCAAGGCGGATACTCGGGACCACAAACCTTCGAGCGCACACTTGCCCTGGTCAGCAGGTACAGAAAAGCACTCGACGAAGGCCCCAAGCATGTCGCACCGCCATCTGACGCCTCATCCACCTCTACCGGTTCCTCAATGACCAAGCCAACGCTCGACCTTGACCAACCGGCCCCAACAGACCTCTCCTCCAACGTCGACGACCTTTCTGAATCGGCACCTACCATGACCCTCCATTCTACACCCAAGACTGCACCTGCACCAAACGCACCACGCAAGGTCATATTCGCCACGGGCGGCATCACAAACGGACGCCAAGCAAGAGAGATTCTCGATGCTGGAGCGAGTGTGGCACAGGTATATACTGCCATGATCTATGGCGGTGCTGGCACAATCAGCAGGATCAAGCAGGAGATGAGGGATGACGCAAAGGAGCAAAAGACAATAACGAAGCGGTAGCCAATAGATGAGAGTAGGTAGAGGATTCTATGTTCAAATATTGACTTTGACAGATATGTTTCAGGTGTATGGATAACAGTAGATCTACCAAAACCACGTCTCTCCGAACAAGCGTACACGGAAGACAAGTCCCCTCTGTCATGTGTTTTTGCGTCAATTTTATCCTTCAATACGAGGGTATCACTGATTGGTCCTCAGCAGCTACTCGTGAGGCATGTATCCTCTATATACAAGCTGTATGTAAGATGTTTGTAGACTTTATACATCGAACCTTATGTATGTTGCATAGCTTTCGCTCGCAATCAGAACAAACACCATTGCGCCACCCACGGAAACAGAATTTCCTACCTGTAGCAAGACCGACCTAGCTCTAAACGGACACGCTGAGAATGCGCGGCATCGTCGGGCTTGCTCAACCAACGCCGTATAGCCCCTATACGCAACGAGCTACCCCAAGTGGGCCTTTGCGAGCTCGTGCCTCCTTGCAGAAGAGAATTGAAAACAAAATTACTTTTCGATACCACCAGAAACAGTATTCCAATACCTGATCGCGACTCATCGCGCGGAAAATTGCGCGAGAAGAATCTTATCCATACTGTACTTTCTAATGATCAAGCTGACGACTAGGGCGCTAGCGGAAACAGCTGTGGTCATGATGAAGACCGAATCGAAACCTTTCATATACGACGATAAGATGGCACTCTTCTGGGGAGAATCGGCCATAGTACGTAGGACGAAGATATATTGCTCGGAGTCGTGAGCGATCGATGTAGGCAGACCAAGCTCAGAAAGTTTGTCTGACATTGAGTTCGAGAAAATGGTTCCTGCGAGCTTGGATGAGTCAGCATCGTGTAGGGGAGTCAGCTGACGGCTGAACTTACGGCAACACCGAGCGGCATTCCTAGACTTCGGAGAAAGCCGTACATACTTGCGGCCATCGCCGCGTCTTCCGGCTTGGAAATAGCCTGGATGCCAACATTGAGGCTTGTAAGTACCATGCCCATGCCAATACCAAGGACGGCAAGGAACACTGAGGTAATCACAGTTGTCGAATCCACATCGAGAAGGATTTGCAATCCGCAAGCAAGCGTAGTGATGACCCAACCACCCCAGATTGCCCATCGAAATCGTCCTAGGCGCGACGTCAAAACTGAAACTGCGACAGAACTAGGCACTGTGAGGAGGCAGACAGGCAGCATATCAACACCTGCTTGAGTTGGATATCTGCCCCGAACACTCATGTCGTAAAACGGCCAGTAGTATAAGGTGGTGAAGAGCTTGATACGTCAGTATGTGTCTGGGTAACAATTAGATATGAACTTACGAGCAGGCCGTTGATCAGCGAGTTGTAGAAAGCGGCAATCGCGCTCCAGCTGCCAAAAACTGCCAGCGGCAACAGGGTGTGCTCCTTCCTGTAAACCTGCCATAAGAAGAACAGAGCAATCCCTACCAGTCCCGCAATGATGGGCGCAAGTGTTGCAGCTGAGTCCCACGGATGTTGAATACCGCCCCAAGATATTCCAATGAGCAAGCTTGTCATGCTGCCAATGAAGAGCATCGCACCCAGCCAGTCAACTCGCTTGAGTTTCTCCTGAAACGTGAGCTTCGACGTTGCATCGAGGTGGACGAAGAAGATTGCTACAATGAAGCCGATTCCACAAAACGGGTAATTGATGTGAAATGCCCATCGCCAAGTGGTGCTTTCGACAAGTTTACCACCAACTACTGGACCGACGATCGATCCAATACTCCAGCAACCAAGAACCATGGAGAAGTACTTCGGGCGCTGTCTCAAGGGAACAATGTCGCAAAAGATAACTTGCGTCAACGTTATGATTCCGCCGCCGCCGATTCCTTGGATGCATCTCCCTCCGAGCAACGTAGTGAAGTTGTCCGCGACGGAACATAGGATGGTACCTGTCGTGAAGAAAAGTAGCGAGGTGATGAGAAGTTGTTGACGACCAAAGACAGCGGAGACTGATGCAATGACTGGTTGAAAGATGGCCGAGGTGAGTAGATACGACGTTCCTGTCCAGAAAGCTTCAGCAGCGGTACCGTTCAGCTTCTGGGCAATTACCTATACATTATTAGCACATCTTGAAAAGGGAGAAGGATAGAGTTTTCAACTGACAGGTAATACCGTGACCAGGATTGTAGCATCCAGCGCCACCATCAACGATATGAAGCTCAAGCTGACCATGATGAGCAGCTCTTTCTTTTGCGGTTTCCACATATCAGGCGTCTGCATCTCGCCCTTCGCTTCGATGTTGCTTTCAGACATATTGCCAGCTACCAAGAATGTGTTGCCAGGTACTGGACGCGTGTTGTACGAGAATGCAGGCTTTTCGAGCGAGTCTGATCCGCTGTCAACATCTATTGCACAATTAGTAGAGGACTCTGTTGTAAGTTTACGCTCTCTGTGAAATATATGCCAAAGCTGCTAAGAACTGGACACAGGTAAACTCCAAATTTATGGCCACTGATTTCAGCCAACATCGCTTCGGTTATACGGTCCGCATAACATAGCTGTACAGGATATGTTACTGTGACATGCGGCTGGACTGCGTGGCATGGATGTAAGACATGCTTACCTCTAGTAAAGCCGGTGGGGCTGTATCCAAATGCACTGGGCTGCTCGCTGTATTCATCGGTAGGAGTACTGCATAATGACTCCCAATTCTTGTCGGCCTCATTGTGATGGGTTGTGACTGTCCTGATCATCCTTGGGGGCGAGATGAACGAGCGAGTACTGGTCAAAGGAATGCTTGGCGTGGAGACAGGATGGGTACAACAGTATCGTCGGAGCTAATTAGACAACAGCGGTGTGTGTGTCGACCTAGCTACCGACATTGACCTTCAGCTGACGGATTGAAGTACGGCGAACGCCCCCCTTCTTCTACGGATGAGGCTCATCCCGAAAGTTATAGATCCCGTGGATTGAGGTTGCTGCTTAGGGCATTGACCGTTTCATACAAAGAACGAGCGCGCACTTGGCTAAGCTATCCTAGCTATCCGCAAAGAAAAGCAACTGCACTCGGTTAAGGTAGCCGTGGCGCATCTCAACTTGGTTGCGTTTGTTGATCTGAGGATTGTTGTCACCGATCAGCTGCATCTGGCATTTAGATCACCACCTGCTCTTGGTTGAATCGAGGCCAATGTATACAAAAATAACCGCTAAAACGGCTCGGGTGACATCAGGACAGCTAATGTAATCTGCATACACGGAAACCGCCTTCTACGTTATCAGCTGGCAGTATCAGCCTTACGCGTCAAATTGGCCAATCATAGCGCTCGATCTTGGCACTATAGCTAGCTTCGGCTTGCGATCCGCGCCACGGGGGTGCGGCTCCACACCACCAGACGACCATGTTTCGTGCAACCCAAAATGTGGCTTGCATGCCAAAAGCACATGGTGACCGCGCCAGCACTCTGAAAGGGTTGCATAAGCCTCACAGACATCAAACGCTCCTGAACACTCGCCTAGGGGCTTTTTAGTATTGGAGAGCCGTCCCAACGCATGCAACGGCGCCGGCAAGGGAACCGTGGCTGCGCATTCTCCGTCGCAAGTCGGAGGGCACGCATTCTGTCTCCTTTGAGGCTTTGGTCAACTGCTGCAGCCGCTCACTGACCCTCCCCTGAATAGGAGAAGGCAAGCGACCTGGATGAAATTCAATGCGACGTCAATCGATAGTACGAAAACATTTGCGTTCAGCACCCCTAAGCTTTGCAAAGGAAATCGGCGCGGACCCGATCGCAGATTGTCAGCTTGCTTCTGACGTGTAGCATCACGATGCCATTCATGCGGCATGGCGTAACCACCAGCCTCGTTGCTTTATTTAGAGTTTGAAATTGTAGTAAGGGCATGTGAAGCCTCAACATGGTTATACATAAGCGCGTGTCACAAACAGGCACGGATGAAGTCCTAGGAGGACAGTACTACGTTCTCCAAATCTACATCTCGAATCAGTCGAACCGTTGGCAGCAGTCTCACTATTTCCGGAACCAGGGCTCACTTTATCATTCAGTATAATGGCAAACAACAGAGGAAACAACGACACGATCCCAGGCTTCGAACTCATTGCTCCATCAATATGGGAGCTTGATCCGAGATCCGCATCCGTCTTTCCACGTCTCTCTTCGAACGACCTTACAGCACCGTCACTCATCCTGCTGTGCACTTGGACAGGAGCCCAAAATCGATACATCGCCAAATATACAGCAGAGTACCGAGTCCTCTTTCCATCGACACGTATCATGGTCATCACTACCTCTGCGAAAGATCTCTGCTTCAGAAACTCGGCACGCAAACAGTGGCGCATGAGACCGGCCATAGAATGCATTTCCAACTACCAATATCTGCCCGAACAAACGCCCGGAGCTGGTATCCTACTACACGTCTTCTCCGAAGGTGGAAGTAACAAGGCCTGTGAGCTAGCAGAAGCTCACTACAGGTTCACCGGAATGCGACTTCCCGTTTCAGCAATATGTTTAGACAGCACACCGGGTCATCCACGATACTTACGATTATGCGAAGCGCTTAACAAGTCACTGCCACAAATCCCAGTCTTACGGCATATCGCCATATTATTCGCTAGTCTAGTCTTGGGCTGTATATGGATGTTATACATTGGTATCAAAGGATTCGAGAACAACGTCATCAGCCGAACCCGACGACGAATTATCGACCCTACCTATTTTGATCCCTCAGCACCACGTTGTTACCTGTACTCAAAGAGCGACACGCTGATCGCGTGGCAAGATGTATCCGAACACGTGGAAGAAACCGAGACCGCTGGTATACCCGTTATAGACATTCCATTTGAGACTAGTGAGCACGTTGGGCATGCGAAGGAAGACCCGCTGCGATATTGGGATGCAGTCATGACGACGTGGCAACAAGCACAAATCAGGGAGAAGCACACACCCCATCTCACATTTTCTGAGACGGGTTGTGTGGTCTTGGACCTGCCAAAGTTTCCGGAATTCTCGGAAAGGGAGTGGAAAGATACCGACTCGTTGCGCAATTTTTTAGAAGTTATGCGGTGGTAAAAGGAGGATAATTTGTTTGACGCTTTCTTTTCGATATACCCCTCTCGCGTTCAACGCAATCCTATATTTTAATTGCTTAATCCTATAGTACGAGCTCAGAGCTGAGACTTGCGCCTTTCATGCGTTGTCTCTACAGTCTCATGTATTTTAGATATGCAACAAGATACGAAACAACTGTACATGTCTCACTGAGCACCATCTTGTGTCCGAGTAATAGCACGGGTGAACATGCTATGGAATACCTGCAGGTATGCAGGTCTGCGTTCCTGTGGCATTACTTTTGGTGCCTCAATAGCTCTAGAACTCTACAGCCCTAGAACTCGTTTATCAAATCAGATGCCAAGATACGGGTCGTCTGGATCTGATAATGAGACACCGCCAACCAGGTAACCGGAAATAATTTCCTTTGATGCGTGCTGTCAGCTGTGGACTATCACTGCCGGACGCGCCTAGCGTAGGATCTAGCGTGAGGCTGGCTCTCAGCCTATGGAAGCTACTCGGCACCCACCGCAGTTCCACAAACAACAAAAACTCGATATTATGTTCTATTGAATTGTGCTGTTTCTTTCAGGCTCGAAGATCGATCTTTAGCTGATGGTACCGATGCGCCGACGGATTTGATGCACATTGACGTCTTACCAGTAACTCTACAAGGCTTATCGTAAGCTGATACGCCCTGTTCGCTAACCTCCAATCATTCAACTTGATTTATATTCCCGGACTACTACATAGCCTTTCTAGCACCGTTCGACAGTATCCTGTCTAGATGCACAGCCGACTCGTAGTCATTCAATACGGAAGGACGAGATAGACGAGATGTTAGATGCCCAATGGTCAGCATCCACATGAGTGCGGCCTTGAATCCCGCTATTGAGATCCAACGAAAACTTTCCGTTTGGCTATGATCCTTGGCTGCCTTTTACGCAGTCATCATGCAAAGGCTTAGCCACCACCACCATCCACAAAACAAAACAAGACAGCATTCTTGGCACCACGTCTCTGGCATTGTATTTGAAATGGGAACATATGCCGAGATATCCACTTGATAGTGGCGGTTCACATGTGAGATTGCTTTGATGACGATACTGGAACGCAAAGCTCGCACGTGGAGTCTAGATAGCCCCAGATAGGGCAGCCCAAATCCTTGCAGATCTACAACGCACAAGTGTTACCATCGCCGGAATTGGAAAATGGAGAGCGAGCGGCAAGAAGACTTACACCGATAGAAGCAGCGAAGGATTCAGTAACACGTATAGACTGAAATTCGGAGTTTGTGAGGTCTCCAATGATTAAGAAAATTTGTATAGACTGATGCAGTAGCTTCTTGGGGGGTCAAGGAATAAGCCATGAATGACAAGACCTGGCGGTCAACAGAGGACGTTCATGTGATCGGCTTGGTCAAGAATTGTCGTTTGCCTGCATCCTTGCGAAAAGTGTTCGGGTCAACGTCGGCGCACATACAACCTATCTCGTACAAGAACGCGTTTCTGATTTCCTCCATCTTTTAGTACTACTACATCGAGTGAATGGCAACCATCAAGTCACTACCAAGCCTCCTGTACGTCATTCCACTTGAGAGTCTAATCTTCGAGAGTTATGATCGCCTGCTACTCGGAAGATCATGTACTTGCATGTCTAGTTCGAAGACATATGTCTATCGCATGTGGTTCAATCCTGAATACAACCTGTACATGTCTCGAGGAGATCATCTCGTTGTGCGTACGAGTGCTAGGTATAGATTCTCATCGCTTCAAACCATCATTCCGCATCAACCTCGGATTTGAAGTCGAAAATCGAATCGCCTCAAGCCATTATTACTCCTAGTCTTGCATTTGTGATTATGTTTGCGAATTTTCACGAAAGAAAGGCATTCCCTTCGGTTGGGGGTTGTTCGGCTTGCGGTGCCTTGGTAGGTGTTGGTGGCTCGCCACTTCTGAGTACAAATCAACGAGGCTGTCTGATAAATAGCATAACGCACATGGGTCTAGTCCGAATGCCTGACGATCAATCAAATAAAGTGTTCATGAGATGGTGTTATTGAGCTCCTGAAGATGAGGTTCGTCGGTTGGAGGGCATTGACTATTGTCAAGGGATTGTGGTGCTCAGCCAATCACAAATCTGTATCAGTGGCAATTCTCTTATTGGTCAATCTCCAACCAATCAATCTACTATCATCCGAAAGGTTCGCGAATAATCGCTCATTTTCTCCCGTCTAACTCTTCTAGTTTCAATTCATCAGAACTTCAGTTTCCATCAATCTTGCTTTGCAGAAACCTTGGAGCAGGCCCAGCAGCCTCATCCGCGTAAGAGAAGTGCGCGGCAGTGATTGTCAGCGTTCCGACGCAAACTAGGTCGCCTGTAGCACAGTATACTTCCAAGTCATCACTGGGGTAGCTGGGAATACCACCACGGTTCTGGGCGTTTCGAGTATAACCAAAGAGGACGACGCCCTTGACCTGATCGCGAATGGTAGTAGACAGCTTGGGAATAGCTCCCGCTATAACCGCTGTACCTTGACTGCTACGACGTTAGTACGAGACAGAGTTGCTAACAATCAACCCAAACTGATGAGACTGACTGACTGACTGATTGCTTGGCAGTCAGTTCAGTGTCAGTTTAGAGCTCTCGTCTTATCAGTCAGTTCAGTTTAGAGCTCTTAAACTGACTGGATT